GCGCCGCGGCGGGGTGGGCGAAGATGCCGTTGCCGGTCCAGGTGTTTAACTTGCAGGTAACGAGCGCGGCCGGTGGCCCCTCCGCGTCCCCGCTGCTGGGCCGGAGTTGGCCGGCCGTGTGCCCCCTCCCCCGGCCTCCCTCCCGCGGCGGTGCCCCCGGCCGCAGCGCCCCGCCGTCGGCACTCGGGGGGCCGTCCGGCGCTAACGCTCTCTCTCCTTCAGCAGCCAGCCAGCTCTGTGTCAGGGTCGGGGGGTGCAGAGAGTCAGGACAGGATGAGGGGTGGCCCGGCCCCCAGCGCGGCCGCCGCGGCGGTGGCAGATCTGTACCGCGCCCCTCTCAGCAGTAGGTCAGACCTCTTCCTGCCGGGCACGGCCGGGGACTTCAGCCTGAGCGCCAGCCTGTCGGCCTGTACGCTGCTTTATGAGGTACCTCCCAGGACAGGGCCCAGGACAGCGAGTGAGCGCGCGGGAGGGGGGCAGACCCCCGCCCGCCGGGCCGCCCAGGCCGCTCGCCGTGCTCCCGAGGAGCGTGGCCTCGTCCCGCCAGGTCCCGCCGCTGCGCCCCCAGGTGACTCCCGCCCGCCTCCGAATGCGCGGGCTTCCGGTCCCTCGGCAGGACTCGCCCCCCGCACTGCTGCCCCGGCTGCTCGGGACTTGCCCGAGTTGAGGTCGCCACCGTTTTCTCCCTGTGGCTCGGAGGAAGCTGCATCAGGACGGTGGCTGAGAACGTGTAGGGACCCTCGCGGGTCCCTGGGTAGCCGTCCTCCGATGTCTGCTTTCCCGCTCCAAAGATGCTCGCTTAGAATCGGGCCAAGGGTTTCTGCTTGTGAGCCGCTGGTCTTGCAGGGAGCCCCCTCCCTGATGTGGCGGTGCTGGAGACGGGGCAGGGAGTGGGTAGGGGCTGGGATGGGCACTCTTGGGGGAACAGGATCTCCCGCCTGGGAGATGGCAGGCAGAGCTGAGCTCGGGGCACAGTGAGGGTCTCTCACCTTCCTTGGGCTGTCCCAGGCTGGAGGTGCCAAGGTGTTGGCCCGTGTTGCAGGGGGCTGTGGAGCCCATGCAGATTGATGTGGACCCCCAGGAAGACCCGCAGAACGCGCCTGATGTCAACTATGTGGTGGAGAACCCCACCCTGGTATGTAGCTTGGTGGGGTGCTCCTGGGGAGAGGTTGGGGGGTCTAGGCCAGGCTCCCCACTCTGGTTGTGTCTTTCTCCGACCCACAAACCATCAGGGTTTCTAACTGCCTATTTATAATGGGTTGTTAGCCCAGCTCCAGATCCTGCACCCCACTTCTTCCCCACGTAGAAGAGCCCTGTGTGCCAGGCTGCCCTGCAAGTTGAATCTCACCATAAGTGCAAGTCTTCCTTGGGGTCCAGCCTATGAAGCACTGTCTCGTCACTGGTCATCCTGGTGACTGGCAGTCACGAGCACGTGCCCATCTGGCTCTGGCCATTCACTCCCCCCAGGGCAGAGCTCTACTCTGGAAGCCCCTGCACTGGCCCACCCCACATGGTTTTTCTCAGCACCTGGATAGTGGTTCTTCTGGTGCCCACATGCCCAGTTGTGCCTGTTGAGGGCCTAGGGCCTCTCAGACACAGGGGAAGGGTTGGCATTCGCGCCCTTGCTCCTGACTCACTAGCCAGGGCTTGGGGTCTGGGGTTCCGCCTTGCACAGTCTCCCTGCCCCCACCCCCAGGACCTGGAGCAGTATGCAGCCAGCTACAGTGGCCTGATGCGCATCGAGCGACTGCAGTTCATTGCTGATCACTGTCCACCGCTGCGGGTGGAGGCCCTGAAGATGGCCCTCTCCTTCGTGCAGAGGACCTTCAACGTGGACATGTATGAGGAGATCCACCGGAAGCTCTCAGAGGCCACCAGGTGAGGCCAGGGGACTTGGTGAGAGGAGGAAGGGGCTGGGCATGGTGTGTCCCTGTCGAGTCCAGCCAGGGCAGGGGCCATTCCTGTGCTCTTGCAATGCCTGGCCCTACACCTGTGCGGGCACTCACAGTGTCACGACCTGGCCTTCCTTGTTGAAAAGCTGCAAAGAGCGTTAAGCTGTTAAGTGGCAAAACAGACTAGGTTCTTGCTCTCCTGGCTGAGAGAATCCAGGCTCTTTCGACGCCGTCCCTGCTGCTTCTGCATAAGTGGGCACATGGCGGCTGTTCTGACGTGAGCAGAGCTTGTGGAGATGGCAGTGGGCTTCTCTCTTCTTGGCACGGCTGCCTGGCCCTTTTCCCACTGGGCTTCCCTGCCAGGCTGCGGGATTCTGCGGTCAGGACTGCCCCTGTGCCAACTGGGTGCTCTCCCAGTGGGGGCCAAGCCAGGCAGGGGCCGCTGGACGGTGCCTGCCCGCCTGTACCTCAGCCCCTGATGGCCAAGCCCTCCCTCAGAGAGCTGCAGAATGCACCTGATGCCATCCCTGAGAGTGGCGTGGAGCCCCCGCCCCTGGACACGGCCTGGGTAGAGGCCACGCGGAAAAAGGCCCTGCTGAAGCTGGAGAAGCTGGATACAGACCTAAAGAACTACAAGGGCAACTCCATCAAGGAGAGCATCAGGTGCCGCCCACGGGGGTGGGGGAAGCGGGCAGCCAGACCCTCCACGGCCCCTGACAGGGGTCCACTCATGGCTGGGCTCACAGGCGCGGCCACGATGACCTGGGTGACCACTACCTCGATTGTGGGGACCTCAGCAACGCACTCAAGTGTTACTCCCGCGCCCGGGACTACTGTACCAGCGCCAAGCACGTCATCAACATGTGCCTCAACGTCATCAAGGTGGGCCCAGCGGGAGCAGGTGGGCGGCGCCCGTAGGGTAATGCTGCCCCTGGGCCAGGAGGGGCGCCCCAGGCTGAGTCCTCTCCACCTGCGTGCCTGTCAGGTCAGCGTCTACTTGCAGAATTGGTCTCACGTGCTAAGCTATGTCAGCAAGGCTGAGTCCACTCCAGAGATTGCTGAGGTAATGCCAGCTCCGCGTCCCGCCTGCCTGCCTCCTGAGATCCTGCCTCAGGAGCCCTGACCACAGTAGCTCCAGTGGGCCTCACCCTCCCCGAGTCTGCCTTTGCCCTTCTCAGGCTGGGGCTGGGTGTCCAGGCCTGGGAATTGACAAGTGTGGGAGAGCATTGGTTGCTCAGGTGTACAACCTTCTTCTGCAGCAACGTGGGGAACGGGACAGCCAGACCCAGGCCATCCTCACCAAGCTGAAGTGTGCCGCAGGTGAGGACCCTTGGGCTTCAGGGCGAGTGGACATCACAGGTTACCCTGTCCCACCTCCACTGGGGGTGGCCCAAGCACATCATACTGCTGAGTTCTCATGACCTGGGAAGTAGGCCTTGTCACAGCTGGGGAAAACCTGGAAGCCTCACACCCATGGCTATGGGTGACACCTGCCCGGCTCAAGTCCTGTATGGTGAGGCCAGTGTGTGACCAGCATTAGGAGTGGAGGTATTGCCTTCTGACAGCTGCTGTCACGGTTGATCCCCCACTGGTTAGTTGTACAGCCCTGATCAGGTCAGCCTGCAAACAGTAACAGCCACTGTGCTCAGCTTCCCTGGGCACCTGACTCTCAGAGTGCTCATGGGCGCTGTTACTTCTCGCTAGCCAGAATTTCTGCCCCTGGTGCTGAGGAGCCCCTGAGGTGGGAGAGGCCACGGTGCGCCTGTCACGGCGCTGGGCTTTATTCTGGCCCCCCTCTTCTCCCAGGCCTGGCCGAGCTGGCTGCACGCAAGTACAAGCAGGCTGCCAAGTGCTTCCTGCTGGCTTCATTCGATCACTGTGATTTCCCCGAGGTGAGGGGCATGAGGGTCTCTGGGGAGGACCCCTCGCTGGGACTTGGGAAGCAGGGTGAGGGCTCAGGGGCTGGGTTCTTTGTTGGGAGGTCTCCCCTATGGGGTCCCAGGCATTGTCTGAATGGGCAATGGGTGGGGCAGAGGCGGACCCAGCCCTGGCTCCAGGCTTCTGTCTTAACCACCAGTGACCCCAGGTCTCTGGACTCACCTTCCTTCTTGCCCCTCAGCTGCTTTCCCCCAGCAACGTGGCCATCTACGGTGGCCTGTGCGCCTTGGCCACTTTTGACCGGCAGGAGCTGCAGCGCAATGTCATCTCCAGCAGGTGCATGGAGGATGGGGGTGCTGGGCCCTGCAGCTTGTCCCTCTGTGGGCCCTTTCTCTGGCCCTGCTCCTCCTTGTGTCCTGGCCTCTCCCAGAAGCCTTGGGACTGGGGCCCTGTGGGCCTCTGCAGCTCCAGTCCTTCCCGTTGGCTGCCTTCAGGGCAGGCAGGCGCAGGGCCAACCCTAACAAGGTGGCATCTGCAGCTCCTTCAAGTTGTTCTTGGAGTTGGAGCCACAGGTTCGGGACATCATCTTCAAATTCTATGAGTCCAAATATGCCTCATGCTTGAAGATGCTGGATGAGATGAAGGTGAGGGACTTACGGCCTGGTCTGGAGGGCGAGTAAGTGCAGAGAGCCCAGGCAGCCGGTCCCTGACCAGCTCTCTTCACCAGGACAACCTACTCTTGGACATGTACCTGGCCCCCCACGTCAGGACCCTGTACACCCAGATTCGCAACCGTGCCCTCATCCAGGTAAACGTGGGGTGGGGTGGAGGCTGAGGCAAGGTGCTGCAGACATGTCTGGAAGCTGACATCCCCTTTGCACCGCAGTATTTCAGCCCCTATGTGTCAGCTGACATGCGCAAGATGGCCACAGCCTTCAACACCACAGTGGCAGCACTGGAGGACGAGCTGACGCAGCTCATCCTGGAGGGGCTCATCAATGCACGCATTGACTCCCACAGCAAGGTGGCTGGGCTCAGGCTGGGACCGTGGGGTGTGGGAAGGGGGACCCCTGGGCCCTATTGAGCCCTGCACCTCTGCAGATCCTGTATGCCCGGGACGTGGATCAGCGGAGCACCACCTTTGAGAAGTCCTTGCTGATGGGCAAGGAGTTCCAGCGGCGTGCCAAAGCCATGATCCTGCGCGCGGCTGTGCTGCGCAACCAAATCCATGTCAAGGTAAGATCAGGGATGGCGCTGGGATGTGGGGAGGACAGGCTGGGCCCGCACATGCACCTCCTGGGCTGAGCAGCCATGTCTCCACTGCAGTCCCCTCCGAGAGAAGGGAGCCAGGGGGAGCTGACACCTGCCAACAGCCAGTCCCGAATGAGCACCAACATGTGAGGGTGCCTGTTGGCTTCCAGGATCGTCTGCATGCCCTCATCCTGCCCCATGCCCCAACCTGCAGACTCGGACACCTGGGCCTCCTATCTGCCTGCATAGGACTTCTGGAGGTGCCACCTGTGGCCCACTTGCAGAGGCCTGGCCACTGAATGCCAGCTCTTGCCCCCTACCCAGGCTTCCACGTGTCCAGCTTCTCCTGCCCCCTCCCCTATGCTGTGCCCTGTGCTGGGGCCCTGGGGAGGTGGTGAGGCCTGCAGGGCTCACCTGTGTGGCACCTGGCCCCCCCCCCCCCAGCAGCACTGCCTCCCAGCCCCTGTTCATGCATTGTTTGGGATTGCAGACAAGGTGATGAATCTTAGTCCATTAAAGGGCAGCCTGAGAACACTCCCTTTGCGCTGTTCTTTCCTGCCACAGTGGCTTCTAATGGTTGTCTCCCTGGGGCCAGGCTTTGGGGCAGGGCCTGGTCCTCGTCCCCAGGCCCAGACTCTACTTCCTCAGGTTCCCCTCCCTCATGTTCAAGCAGTATGGCCTGGAGGCAGCCTCTGCTGGCTGACACTAGGCATTGCCCTCTTCTAGGAAGGTTTCCGTGGCCACAAAAGAGATCAAGGCAGAAGGTTCTTTGCCCATTTCCCCTTGTTCTGAGGTCCCCACTGGCCCTGACTCCATCCTCCCAGTTTGCAGCGGCAGTCGGGCCTCGTTGGGCCTGGCGGTGTCACAGGTCGTCTCTTGGGCTCTATGCATGCGCATCTTTGAAATGATTTATTGTTCGCTTTTTAACACACACAAGTCTGGAGGACAGGGCAGGTCCAGCCTGCGAGCCTACTCCCTAGTGCAGCATTTCCAGGCCCCCAGTGTGGGCTGAGGATAAGACCAGCTTGCCCTTCTAAGTTAAGTAGCAGGAGATTCCCTGAGTAAAGGCGTTTCCTTAAGTGGGATGTGTCGAGGCTTCGGCAGCACTCCTGGGGCTCAGTGGGATGGCACATTAGGCTCCCCGGTGCCCTCAGGCCAGGGCACTGCCAGTGACCTCGGGGAAGAAGTTGCCTGGTTCCCCAGGCCCTGCCTGCTGAGGCTCCTGTGGCCGGGACTGGGCCCCCTTCCATGCCAGAGACTTCTCCAATTTGGTTTTAAAAAGCAATCCGTGACCTGGCAGAAGAGGCGAGAGGAGGAAAACGGGGCTCAGGAGGCTGAGGGTCCCAGAGCCCACTGGGGGCCCTAGGGAGGGACGGGCTGACAGCAGCAGGCATCCCCACCTGGGCAGTCTGCGGTCTCTTTGAAAGCTCGCTTCTTGCAGCAGCCCCGGCACAGGTTAAACACACATCTGTTGCCCTGGAAACAGGAAAGCCAGTGAGCCTGCAGCTGACACCCTTCCCCAGGGCAAGGCCTGCAGCCTAAACAAGCTGCCAAGAGCACAAGAGGGCTGCACCCCAGGCTAGATAGAGCTGACCTTACAGGGAAGCAGCCACCCCACCTGCTGCACCCTCAGCAGACAGGGAAAGGACGGCTCCTGCAAGTACTGGGCAGCCCAGGGATCCTCTGAGACAGTGTCAGCAGGGACCACTCTCCCCGTCCCCTCCTGGGGCTGACCTTTACCCTGAGCAGCATGGCCAGAAAGACCGACTCACCTTTGGGTTTCCACACTGATCACACTTTGCATATTTCGCTGGGAAAAGAACAAAAGGAGGTGCTGAACAAGCCTACCACTGCCGTCTCCTACATGAAGCCCCTAGTGGGTATACCTGCTCGCTGGGCTGGCCAGGCCAGGCGGCTTGGGGTAATGCAGAGGATGCAGTGAGTACAGTCCTGCCAGGAAACCAACAGGCCCTTCTTCCCACCTGCTCAGAAGGCTCAAGGGGTCTATGCCCATTGCTGCACATCTCCCACTTAAAGGGCCTTCTCAGGAAGGCCATCCCAAGCCCCACTTCTGCTTCTCCAGCTGCCTTAGGGCAGCAGCCAAGGGAGCACGTGGCAGGCAGGACTGCTGGCAGTGGCCTAATGTGGCAGCCTCGTGGGACTTGCCCATCTCCCTGGGGGCATGTGGGAGGGTTGCAGGGCCCTTCCTGCTGGTCTCCCCTGTGGCCTGTGAAGCCCCCTTTATGGGGGCTACCCTCCCTGGGCCCCGGCGGCATGAGCAGCTTACGCTTCAGCGAGGGGTCAAAGGTCTTGTGGGGATTCCTCAGCTGTTTCTTCTGCTTGTTCTTGGATAGGACATCCGTGCTGCCCTCCTCCTCCTCCAGGGCCCGCTTGCCACAGGCACCCCTGTTCTCCTTGCTCCCCTCCCTGGGCCTGAAGGGGGAAGACAGCGGGCAGAGCTGAGGTACACCCATGAGAGGGGCCTGCCAGCCACAGTCCTAGGACGAGGGGGACCACGTGGCCATGGTGGGTACTTATGTACTGGATGTGCACGTAGCTCCCCCGAGGCTCCAGCAGCTCAGTTCTTGGGCTGCCAGACTGAGAACACCAGGGTCTGAGCCATGGAGCCCCAGGCAGGGCTGTGACCACAGAGGATAGCCTGGCCTTTCCTCTGAGAACCCAGAGGAAGCCTGGGGGTCAACATCTTGACCCCAAGACAAATCCACCCAGGATCAGAGGAGCTTAGAGAAGCATCTTGTGGAAGAAAAGATTTAAAACCTAAGCGTCCACTGATAGGGGAGAGGCCAACTCCACACCTGGAGGGATGGAGCTGAGCTGCTAGCACCCCTGCCCCACCGTGTGCACCATGGCCCTGTGCAGGCGCTCACCCTGGCCGGAAGTAGGGCTGGCAGATCCAGTGGAAGAAAGGCAAGCCACCCGAAGGCTTCTCTCCCTCCTTCTGCCTGGATATATCCTCCTGCAAAAGCCCAGAGGGCCCTCAGTCATGACCCAAGACCCTCTCCCACCCGCTCAGCGACTTGCCCGGCTTGCCAGCCCCTGCACATGCCTGACACCGCAGTTTCAGCTCCTGGCTCACTGCAGCGACACCCTCCAGGGTCTTCACTTTGGCGAGTTCCTCTCGAAGCTGCTGATGCACCTGCAGCCTGAGACAGACGCCCCATCACAGCTGGCCTACCACCCTGCTCCAACCGCCACCCCGAGCCCTGACACAAAGGGGCGCTGTCTCCCTCCAACCCAGGCTTCCCACCTGACCTCACTAGTCACCTCAGCCCTTCCAGACCTGACTTGGTGACAAACTGTTTTGGTAAATGTTTTCGGAGACGTCTCTCTTAAAAGCCCCAATGCCCAGGTAGGGCTCATACCAGACAGCATCTGCCTTGTGGGTCAACTCACGTGTGGTGCCACAGCTTGAAGAGGTGGGCCCGGACATAGGACAGGGGGCAGGGGTGCTGCCGCACAATGTCCAGATACTCCTCGGCCAGCTCCCACACGGCAGGGCTGCGGCCCTCGAACAGGGCGGGGTTGTGCAGGTTGCCCTCTGCAGGGGGAAAGGGGCTTGAGGCTGCGGGTGCTCACCTTCCGAGAGGGACGCCCCCACCCGATGCCATGTCACACCAAGGGCAAGGCTGGCCACCCAGCTCACAGGCTGATGGGGACCCGAGTAAGGACGGTGAGGGGCCCAAGGCTGTTTAGCTGGGCCAACAGCCTCACAAGCTACACAGGGCCCTCCAGTGTCTGCCAGCGCCGGCCCAGCGGCAGGCGAGAGTGCAGCCTCACCTGCACTCATGACCCCCTGCACCCCTGTGTCCTGGATGCAGCGCTCCACGTCCCGCAGGCACTGGATGTTCCCGTTGGCAAACACAGGGATGGCCACTGCCTTCCTGTCGGGGAGCAGGATAAGCAGACACTCAGAGGAACACTGTCCCTTCACCCCCTGGGGCAGTGCCCAGACCCCCAAACTTCATCTTGGCAGGCACTTCTCTCTTTCTGCCACGCTGCCCCCCGACCCCACTCCTACTGAAGCACAAAGGGCTGAAAGCCTTGTCTCAGGGCCGGGCTGCGTCCCTAACCCCTGGTTTGTCCCCCATGTCCACTCACCGCACAGCCTTGATGTGCTCCCAGGATGCGATACCCGACAGAGGCCCCTTCTGCTCCTTGGTGCGCCCGTGCACAGTCAGCAACTAGGACAGAGCAGCACTTGGCTCAACCCCACTCCCGGCTATAGCCCCAAAGTGACCCCCAGGGGACCGTCTCCCTTTGGCTTTTGGGCATCAGCTTCCCACGCAGAGTGGAAGAAAGGCTGCCCTGGGCCTGCCCCACACCGATCCCTGGTTCCCTGGGCTGCACTTGGGGCCAGGTGATGCCCTGGGGTGCTGTCTGGGGCTCCCACATCAGAGCCATCTCACACTTCCACCCAGGACTCAGAGGTGAGAAGCCTAGCCTCAAGGGCCAGTCCTCCTGGAGGTGGCAGCACCCCACTGCCCAAGGCCAAAGGCGTGAGGGAGGGACCGGACTAGCCCGACCCCAGGGCCTGGCACCTCCCTCTACCCAGTATTCACCTCCCTCATACAAGTTAGCATGGGTCTCATCAGGCCTTGCCTCAAGGTCACTGTGATTCCTGTCCACCCTCAGAGAGTAAGCTCCTTGAGGGGCGCTCCTGGGGACAGGGCCCCCTCCAGGCCTGACTCAGTGTCTAGAGGACAGAGGGCAGGGGAACAGCACGGGCCCTGCAAGCCATGGCCTCCTTACCTGGCAGCCTGCTTTCTCCAGCATCTGGGCATACCTCACAGTCTTGTCAATCTCTGGGAAGACACGGATTTTGCACGTGACGGGCACAGAGAGTTTCTCGTGGGCTAGAAGAACTGGGGAAAAGGAGAGTCAGCTTGTGCAAGAACCGTGGTGTTCACCTTCCAGCAGGCTGTGGGGACCCACAGCTCAGCCCCTGATGGAGCACAGGCCCAGCAGATGGTCCTGCACCTGCTCCCACTTGATGGCAGCTGAGAGATCTGCCTCGGTCCCTCCGGGTGTTGGAGGGGCCAGGACTGGGAAAGGACACTGCCTTCTGACACCTACTGTCGGGTCCTAAGGGGGGCAGCTGGCACAGCATAGGTGACTCTTCATAGCCACCTTCTACAGCAGGAAGAGCACTGTGACCAGGAGGACTCTGCCAGCCACTGTGCTCTCCTGAGCCCCTGCCATGCTGTCTCTGGGGTTCCTTTGCCCAACCATGACCCAACCCCACAGCCCCACACACAGCACAGAACCTACTTACTCATTCTCTGGAGCAGGTCCCACTCCTCCTGTAGGAAGGCACCGTAGTGACCTGCAAAGGAAAAGCATGACCTTCTGCACCCCTCCTCCTCCTATGTCCACACAGACCACGAGCTGACCTGCCAGGCCAGCCCCAAGGGGCACCAAGCCTCCTGCATGGGCTGCATACACGTCCACAGATCCCTCAGGCTGGGGGCCCCCTGACTGCTGGCCCCCACAGCCTCCCCAGGAGTAGGTGTCTCCG